TTGCCATAATATGAATTTTAACAGTTGTCCAATAGGGCTGTCGGCTGTGTATTAACCTGACTTCTGCACAACACAACTGATGGTCCCAACCCCATTGATAAAGCAAGAAATTCCACTAATTAACCCTGATAGGGCACACCTGTGAAGTGGAAACCATTTCAGGTGACTACCTCTTGAAGCTCATGGAGAGAATGCCAAGAGTGTGCAAAGCAGTAATCAGAGCAAAGGGTGGCTATTTTGAAGAAATTAGAATATAAAACATGTTTTCAGTTATTTCACCTTTTTTTGTTAAGTACATAACTCCACATGTGTTCATTCATAGTTTTGATGCCTTCAGTAAGAATCTACAATGTAAATAGTCATGAAAATAAAGAAAACGCATTGAATGAGAAGGTGTGTCCAAACTTTTGGCCTGTACTGTATACTGAGATACAGATGGACAGTCAAGGTTCATAGTGCCCAGTGAAGTAAGATTTTGAGGTAAACAGTTATAGAGGATTCAGTTCTTCAACGCTGCCAGCATCTACAGTATTGTTTTAGTACTCCTCATTGGGGGTCATGAAGGGCAACATAGAAGACTATAGGAGGTTTCTGGCAGGCAATGCAAAGACCACTGTGAAGCAGAATGTCAGTCAGGGAAAAGGGCTGGCAGTGGATGACAGAATAGGACATGACAAACTGACCAGGGTCCAGGGTGAGGAAGTGCAACTGTTGTATTCCACCAAAACCCTTTGGGTGTGCTCCAACAACAAAACTGACTCATACCAAAGAACAAGGAGAGGCAACCTTTATTCATATAGCGTATTTCATACACAGGGGAAAACAGAATGAGCTTTACATGGAAATGAAGAAGAAAAGAACGAGAAATAATAAGTGACTAATAATGTTGAAGATAACAACAATAATAATAATAACAGCCATTCACAACAAGCATGAAGGAAGACTTCCAGATTTTCAATTACAAAGGATGTAGTGCACATTTTTGAAAGTTGTTTCTTTTTTTCCTAAAAAACTAAAGACAGCTTCTTCAGACTTTGAACTTAATCTTGCAGCAGTCGCCAGAAGAATGCTGGATGGTGAGACGTCTAGGCATCTAGACGGCTGCCAACCTGCGGACCATTGCAGACCGCTGTTCGAGACCAACAGTGCAGCATTTCTAGCAGCAGCTGTGCCACCAAAACCACGTGTTTTTTGGTGAGACATCAGTGGTCATTTCAGTTGTGATTGTGCCACCAACTGGGGGTTTTTAGCAAGACATTTGCCACTTTTCTAACCTGCAATTATTCCCCAACAAATGGGTATTTTTAGTGAGGTATTGGTGGCAATTCCAGCTATGACTGTGCCACCCAAAACTGGCTATTTTAAGCCAAAACATGACCTATGATCATGACCTAAAAACATTGAAGTGGTTTTTGTGCCACACACTAACCACAGCATTTTCTAAACTGAAAGAAACTCTATGTTAAACATATCTGCTATAAAATAATGCACAAATGTCATATCCCAGGCTTGGAGAAACATACAATACCAACATTCACTCTGGCGACTGGGTTGACCCCTGATAAAGAATGATGGGACAAGGGTATAAAGAAGAGATGGCAAAGTAAAACATGCTGCCTCATCAAGTAGAATGTTTCTGAGATGAACTTGATGTATTGCATCAAAGTTTGGTCTGTCAACAGGAAACACATTTGTGGCTGCTTGTCTGATTAAACATTAGGGTTGTTTTTGCACTATTTTGCTCACATTAGAAGATGTGTGAAGATGTTTCCCAGCCTCTTTGATGACAGGGCATTGAACTCTCTGAGCCTTTAAGCTTTCTGAATTGCCCCGCTGTGTGAAACAAACATATTATTTCTACCTTTCTATATAGGAATCAGGTCGGAATCAGGTTCATGGACTGATGGATATGATCTCTACTCTGGGTGGTAATGTTGGGTAATTTCCTCCTCATTCTCAAGAATGTCTTGGTTGAGAGCTTGAATGCTTTGTGCTGAAGATTTGTCTATTTAAAGGAAGCAAAACTGGCTTGTGGGTGCTTTCCTGATTAAACATTGTTAATCTAATGCTGTGAAAGGTTGGGCAACAAAAGCTATGCAGTTGTCCAAACAGCAGACTAATGCTGTGTCTCAAATCGTGTACTTCTGTAGGCTACTTATACCTAATATTTTGAGTATGGAAAAATGCAGTGCACTATGAGTACCCAGATGGTGCACTCAAAACGGTCAAAAAATTGAATGTGGAACTATGGACACTTCTCGCCCTCAATGGTCATCTTGACTACGTAGCGGAAGGGGAGGGACCACTTTTCAAACTGGAAATGACGGCTGAGGACTATGCGACCGTGAACGTTGCTGCATTGTATAAATACATGTGTTTTTGCACTAAGCACCACTATACTGTTGTCGGGTATAAGCCAGCAGTATGTTTGTTGGGTTAATTTAGCAGTCTGTAATGATTTGGTACTGTGAACGATAATGCGAATGCTAATGCTAGTTTGCTAACTAGCTAATTTGCGGTTGTCATTTCCGGTGAGTGTACAACGGCTGTGTTTGGTTTGAGACAACACTACCCTGTCGAAATTTGTGCACTACACCAATAAGTACATAGTGCACATAGTATACTACATAGAAGTATACTAACGGAAGTATGTGATTTGAGACACACCATAAGTTATATACAGTTAGCCATAATTCTGTTGATAATGTTGCTGTGTTTATATCACCCTATATGGATTCCTGACAGGAAGTGATGCAAACGAGTGAACATCAGGTTGTTTCATCGTTACCAATGAAGGTGTCCTGCTCGGTGACAATGAACAGGCTAAGCGACCTGTTGCTTGTTTGAAGAACTGCTAACTTTGCCCCTTTTTTCGGTGACGCTTCGCTCACCTCCAACCTATTTTCAGAGCAACAGCAAGCTCACTCCCTTAATGTTGACTGTCGTTTGTAAAATATCTGGACATTTTTTTTCCCGCCAGTTTGCTCACTTGCTGGAAAAATCTCTGTTGCATGAAAACCAAAAGTACAAACAGGTTATTTGTAATTTTAGGGTAAATTACACCAAAATTCCGAAAGTCACTGGAAGATAAAGGGCTGGACAGAAACCAGACTATCTGCAACCTCTGTGATGATAATCGTGTGGGAGATTAGTATCATATTTTGTTTGAATGTCAGAATGTAAGCTTAATGACTTACAGAGAAAGGTATTTGCCAAAGTATTATTAAAACCGCCCATCTATGTTTCAATTAATTTTGTTATTACAATCACATAAGCCAAAAGTAATTTGTAAACTAGGTGCTTTTTTTGAAGAATGTCCTTCCTTTGTTTAAATTACATTTGTTGTACTTAAGCCATGCCGTGTGTCATTGTTTTGTTAATGTATGTAATGTTTGTACTCCATACCGTGTGATATGGTCAAGAGTGAAATAAATTAATTGTAACTGAAGTTAGGAACTGGCATTACTCCCTTCAGTCGAATTTTGCAAGCAAATTTTGGATTAGGCACTTACTGAGAAGCATTTACAGAATGTAAATACAAAAATAAAATAAAATAAAATAAATAAATAAAATTAAATGAAATAAAATAAAATAAAAATAATAAATAAATAAAATTACTATATAAAAATAAAGTGATAATTTTTAATGACTTTTAATGACTTACAGAGTAAAGCTTCAGCTGACAAAGAACACGTAGAAGAGTCACATCGTCAATAGTATGACATCACATTTGGCTTTATTCTTACAATACAATTTAAGACAAATCTTAAAGCTGCTTTATACAATATTTATATTTACAATGTAAATAATTGCGAGAGGGGGGCCCTTTCTCCCGGTGGTTACACCTTTGTCATCTCATACATATGACTGTCTCTCAAAGCTCAGTTACTGACTTTCAGGGACCTCTAAAGAATATTTTTTTGTGTTCTATGTATTCACAAGTAGATCAGTGTTACAATAATATCAAAACACATCAGTAACAACTTAAACAAGTTTAATACTTCTTCATGACACAACTTGCGTGCATCACTTTCTTTGCAAAATCGTAGTTCTTCCAAAAACCCAGGAAATGGTAAAGGTTAAATTTAAACATGACACTCTGCTCTATAAAAAGACAGTGTGCACCTGCTTAAATTCTTAAGACACACACACACACACGCACGCACGCACGCAAGCACACACACATACACACACACACACACACACACACACACACACACACGAGATGTGGGACCCAGCTGGGATGAGGCCTGTGTGGGGGAGCAGGAAAGGTGGGTGAGGAAGTGGTGATGGTATTTGTCTTTGCATGCCCACACACAACTCAGATGTGGGTATGAAAGAGAGATGTGTGACATATGTTCTCATTTTGGCATAGCTTTTGCATAATCCAAAATCTATAATGCTCTGGGGACCATCGGAGAAATGTTTTTGGTGGCACGATATCACCCATGACAGTTTTCTCTTTTAGTAGCTCCAGTGTAAAACTAATTAAATCCACTTAGACACCTCACTCAAAAATATTCGCCACATTACTTAGTCCATGTGTTTCTTTCCTCTGTAAAGGAAGTGAAAGTTGCTGTGGTGCTGCATTAATGATCACGACATTTTTTTAAAAAGTTGAGACAAAGCTTAGCTTATTTATCTTAGTTCCTGTGCACAAACACAGATTCACCAAAGTCCATTTTGACACCACTGTTACTGCGTAGCAAACACATGCCAATGAGAATAAGGCAGTAAGATACACCATCATGTTAAAAGAAAAATATAATAGATATGGAACAATACATTTTAATACATGTTGTCCATTTTAATGGACATCTACTGCATATGTACATGCACTACTGTCACAAGTAAAAGACCTGTTAGTCGTGTCAAAACACGTCACACATGAACACGTGTGACTAAAATAGGCCTTTTTGAGTTTAACCAGAGTAAACTAGGGCTTGTCTGTGACACTGCTTGTATGTTTATATATCCTGTACGCTCGGCTGTGGTTTCTCTCAGGTGTTGCTGCTGCTGTTCTCAGCTGTCACCTTGGAGGAGGCACCGGAAGTGTATAGATAGTCCTTGAACAGACTCAGCACCCGCTTCTTGTAGGTCTTAATGGCGAAGAAGTAGATGACTGGGTCCAAGCAGCAGTTGAAGTTCATTAGTGAAACTGTGATCTGCAGGGAGAAGATGGATTATGAGGTGAAAAATTGACGAGGATTGTTTGAAATCAAACGAGCAGGAATGATTCCTACCTGTAAGGACACCTTAAAGGCCCTGAGCTCCTCGCAGGTTGCCTGGTGGTGTATCTCTCTGGACATAAACTGCATAACGTTGAGGTGGTAAGGGCTGAAGCACATGATGAAGGTGAGGAGGATGAGTAGGATGATGGTGTTGGCCCTGTGGCTCCTCCTCGATCGACCGGTCACAGAGTTCTGCTTGGCTGCAGCTCGCAGCTTTAGGTTGATCTTGGCGTAGCAGCCCATGATGATGACGAGCGGACAGCAGAAGGAGATGACGCAGGCCAGGAGCAGGAGATATGGGGTGAAGCGGGAGCCGTCGAAGTTGATGTACTCCATGCAGGTCTGTCTTCCCTGGTGCTCGCGCAGCATGCTGCGGAACAGCAGAGGGACTACCTCTAGGGATACCACAGCCCAGACCAGGCAGGAGACCTTGCGAACCACCTTCACGCTACGCAAACACTGCAGCCGGTGTGGGTGCACCATCGCCAGGTATCGATCCAGACTGATACAGGTCATGAAGCCAATACCTGGAGGAAATATAACATGCTGATATGATTAATGGACTTGTGTCTTTTGAGTGTTAAGACCACTCAGAACAGTTTTATACACATCCTGTCACATCCACCCCTTTACTCAAACATTCATACACTGGAGCACTGGGGCAACCACACAAGGTGCCACATACTCAGTTAACCATTCACACGCAATTTGGGGTTCACTGTCTTGCCCAAAGACACCTCAATAGCCTGACAGTAGGAGCCAGGGTTCGAACCACCCCGACCTGCCCCACAGTTTATGCTTTTAACACATGCAGAACATTAGGAAAACAAACAAATCATTTCACAGATGGGCTGGCACTTGTAAAATTTTGGTCAAAAAATTTAACCAAGTTGTAAGATTGTCAAAATGGCTCCAACTGATGATTGTAGATTAATCCATTGATTGTTTTCTTGATAAATCCATTAGTTGTTTGGTCTATAAAATGTCAGAAACTGATGAAAAATATTGATCATTAAGCCCAAGATGACGTCCTCAATGTCTTGTTTTGTCCACAACCTACAGAGTTTCAGTTTACATCTATTGAAGCCTGTCTGATATTTGTGACAGATGCTCTCAGACACCAGCAAACTTGACTCGTATGTTCTGGTCATATGTCATATGTATGTAATTGAACATACTGGAACTGACTCTACACCCATTGCCTCAGATTGGCATCTTTGGTATCCCTGGGGAGGGGGTTAGGATGACTCTACACAAAGAACTGTGCAGTCGAATCCTCCTCCATTTAATGTGTCATTTTTTAAACTGGAAAACATAAAAAAATTTCTATCTGTGGCTCAGCTGAGAAGTTTTGCAAACACTGGCAACCTCTCGTCTCCCACTTCAAAACAGTGCAATCTATCCCATTAGACTAGAGTATGGGAGGTATGACCGGAGAAAGATAAGGGACATATTAGTGCATTTATTGCGCAGACACAACTATGTGTGGAGATTTAACAGTGTGGGTTTTGGGTTGTGATCTTGTATTGTATTACCCTCTGACTTTAACTGACTTTTCATTTATTCCCTTATCTATTTATTTTAAATTAGTTGCACACCTACTGTGTCCATGTATGTCAATCATTTTTATTTATTCTATTAATTTATCTTTACTTGGCTCTGAGCTGAGAGTGAGTTGTTGAGGGGTGGATGTGGGGGGTGAAAGGGTTAATGTTTCTGTTTAAAAAAGAAAAACATGACACTGTGCCACTGCATTATCATATATGGAAATTGCTGAATAAAGTATGGTTAAAAAACAATCTATCTAAGCTCATGCGTTTTCATGCATAATGTAAATGCTGCCATCTTATACACGCACAATGGAAAAATAAGGTTATTACAACCTGGTGTTAAGATAAGGTTGCATATATGCAGATACTCATAGATATGGTAGTGTATTGGAAACTGAACATTACCCGCGTATGTATTTGCAAAGAAGAGCAGCGTGGTCAGTCTGCAGAGGAGGTCACCAAAGGGCCAGTCATAGTGCCGGATGTAGTAAATAATTCTGCCAGGCAGTGCCAGTGTGAACAGGGTGTCAGAGAGTGCGAGGTTGACCAGATAAACGGAGGTGGAGTTGAATTTCTGCTTCCTCTGGCAGGTCACATAGAGAACCAAACTGTTGCCGCACGCGCTGATGATAAAAACCACTGAGTAGAAAATAGGGAAGAGGACCACGGCTGCTCTCTGGTAGACGAACACATCACAGCTGCTCTGGTTTGGAGAGTTTTCAGCTGAGTCCAGGGTGATATTTTCAACAGCCATTCCACCTGACGTTTAGGAAAAAGGATGAAAATTATGAATCATTAAAAGTGTGCATGAGCAGAGGAACACAAGACCACTGAGCTACAGATTAAGATCATGATAGTATAAATGTTTAAAGTACTTACAATAAGAGAGCAAGTTCCCAAGTGAAGTCACTGTTTATACTTCTGAGTCTGGGGGTTTTAGTTGCAAGTTGAGCTGTGATACTTTAAATACCCCAGAAAAGGTTGGATGCAGTGTTCAAATCCCACCTCTCCTTTTTGACATCATATGTCTGTCAAAGTTTGTCATGCATGCTGAGACCTCAGCAGCTAGTTGATGCACTGTGCAGTCAGTTCTGAGACAAATGTGATACACAGTCAACTCAGTAGTCAACAGTGTATAGTGTGGTAACTAAATAAATATAGAAAAAGAGTTTGTGTTGCCGTATAATTAATCTGTAAAGGACATTTGCAGTTGTACTAACCTCTATCAAAGCTCCTATACAAATCAAGTTTGATGTATTTACTGTACATGTATATGAATGGTATACCATGCGATGACATTTACATGTGTACTGTATCACACCATCTTGGCCATTTGTCAGATTCTCACGTTGCTCACATCTTATTTCACAATAAGGGAGTGTTCATTACTTACGAAGGGAGAAGGGGTGGTGCAAAGTGGGGGAGGGTGTCAGTTTTTGTTTAAGCACTTGGGATGGAGTTATGTTGTTTATTTTGGCTCAAAAATACTGTCTTAACCCCTAAACCTGTCAGTAGATATGAAAGTCATGTTTTCTTAAAAATGGCCAAAATCACACTACTTATCATAGCCAGAAATGGTAAATACAGAGATTATTGTTGGGTTTTTAAATTTCCAAAGGTCCTTGAATACATCGTGCAGAAGGAAACATAACCAAATCTAAGCTCAATATGTGATATTCCATCAAAATCACTGTATTCTGCATGTCCCATTTGACATTGTACCATAATAAACCCTGTAAAAACATTAAATTCTGCGCTCCTACGTGCATTGAGATAGTGAAAAACTGCAAGATTTCATTTTCGATTTTAACTGTCAAAAAATCAAGGGGTAAGTTTTTTAAAATGTGAAAACATCCTCCATGCAAAACAACACATTCTCACTCACCTCGTTTGGTCATGGACTTTCCACGTCCACATTTGACATTAAAGGTACCCTGGGTGTGTTGGTTGTTGACGTTCTGGGACACCATGTCATGCTCTGCCTGTTACATGCATTGTCTTCTTTCAAAATACATTTCCTGTTTTTACATGCAACCTCTTTCAAAATAAATACACCACGTCAGTACAGCACCACAAATTTACATTACTTTCCTTCAACAACAAACAGAAGTGGTCACATTTAGCCAACAGACACATGTGGTTGATTTCAGGGAAAAAGATCAGGGTTTGGCTTTACAATCACACTGGAAGTGAACACCAGCATTACATGCATTGTCTTCTTTCAGAATACACTTCCATTTTCACAGGAAATTTACCGTTTACATATAGTCCCCTTTAAGATAAATGCACTATATTGGTACAACACCGTGAACTGACGTTTTTGTACGTGTTGTCTTCAACAACAAAAGCACGTGGTTAGGTTTAGGATAAAAGAACAAGGTTTGGGAGAAAGTTGGTGTTTGTTCGACCCATCCACCACCACTCCCACCTGCCCCAGTTGGACCTTAACTTTCGTCCTTGTCCTGCTGACGCCACCGCCTATGGTTAAACCATAAGGGCAACCAGCCGCGTATCATGCCGACATTAAAGGATGCCTTTTTCGGGAACTGCCCATTGGTTCGACATCCCATTGTTCCGACCATATTAAACTCATTGTTCCGAAGTCCGTTCCGAAATCATCATGATGCCCCGTGGTCTGGTTAGGTTTAGGCACAAAAACCACTTGGTTAGTGTCAGGAAAAGATCATGGTGTGGGTTAAAATGAAAAAGAAAGTGACAAACACATAAGCCGTGAGCCTGCTCTGCCTCAAGCCGGTCGCAGCGCACCATACGCCCACCGCGAGCCGTTCAGCACCGCTAACAGTTGGACTAATGGGATGTTGAACCAATGGGCTGTCGAACCAACGACATGGACCCCCTTTTTCGTCAGTTTCTGACACCGTAAGTCGCTGCCCAAGCTCCTGCTTTCGACGACTTTGGAGTGAGACAGGATTGTGCAAAATTCCTTATAGTATTCTGGCTGGCTGTGTGTGTATGTGCAGGTGTGTAGGGGTGTGTGTGTGATGTGTAGGCTTATTAAATTTTGTTGGTTTTGTTCGATAGGACAGGTGGCTGTCGTGCGGTCATATCTTGCTAAAATGCACACACATCCTGATGATTCAACATGTACGGAGGATTTGAATTTTGCTTAAAAAGTTAGCTTGTTTTGGTGATAACGCTCACTCCTGTGCTGTTTGACTCCAATACCTTTATTTGGTGTGAACTGAATTTAAAGTGTGAATTTAAAGAATGATTGTAAAAGTATTTGTAGCTTTGGGAAAGGTCAAGATAAAAACAGAATGATACAAAACACCCAGCCACGCCCCCTCCTCTGATAGATGAAGAACAGTCCCTAAGCACAACTGGTGAACACAAACACACACACAGCCACGTGTTTTATTAATGAGGTGGACAGCGGCCAACACTAATGCTAAAGAAAACCAAGTATCATCACTGTATATTGATGATAAACATTGTGGGTATCCTGTTCCTGGCCCTAAAAATTAGGTCAGTCCCCATTATGGGGCTGTGAGCAGCACCGACCTTACCGTCCTCACAATGTGGTTAGTGCAAGAGTTCTGCTTTCGAATGTCTGTGTTTTCCAGAAAGCCAGACAGTGATAGAGAGAACATAGAACTAGTTGTGTTCATGTTGTTCTCTGCAAATATGAAGTATTAGTTTCAACGTGGCTGCTGTTTAACAAACAGATTCTAAGTTGCTTTGGAGAAAACCATCTGTAATTTGACATGTAGAGTGGCTACAGTTTAATGAAACAATGCACGTATTTGCACTGCTGCTTGCAGTTGGCACAGCGTGTTTTTGAGAAAGGTTAGATGAAGTGATAAAGTGTGAGGTTTTATATCGTGTTCCTGCCTCTGAGGTTTCTCAAGTTTGCACTCTGTGTGTAGCTGAGGTGAAGGCAGACAGGCCTGAGATGGAGCTGATGGAAGATACAGAGGGCTGCTTAAGTATTGCTGGTGCTCGTTAAAAAAAAAAAAAAAAAAAACTGTCACAATCCTGTGATGTGTGGATGAATCACTAACAGTTTGAAGAATTTCACATCTACATACATCTCAACCACCAACCTCCTAAAAAGATTAAAAACATGAACAATCTGAAGCGAAAAAGAACATGGTGCTAAATTCTGAGAAAAGCTATGGTGGTGAGAAATGCGGCAAAGTTGATTTGTTAGATGTAGCAGCCTCACTGTAGCAAACAAAACTCAGTTTGCAAATATTAACCACTCATTTTTATTTTAGTTATCCACAAACAGACAAAGAAAACAATTATTAACTGATATTTGATTTTGCTAAGAAGATATTAAAGAAACCAATAACACAAAAATTTACAATTAATGCTTTATTATTATTATCACTGAAAACAAGATACAACATTCCAGCAGTCTGCTAAACCCCATCACCGTCAGACTAATAGTACAGTGGCCGAGCTAACAATAGAAGAAGAGTAGCCACAGTATCTCATCCTGCTCGCCCACCAAAGCTCTCCAGGTTGGTGTAATTGAAATGGATGGCTGCTGGAAAGGCAAAAGGTCACTAATTGTCACCAGTCAAATGCGGTTATAATACAGCTCACTTAGGTCACAATAAGAGCTTCATGTGGACAATGTCACCTGCAGGTTAGGAGCCTGCTGCACTTCAGGCCTGCATTTCATGCTCCATTAATTCTGCGCGCAGAGTTAAACATCTCGTACCATCTGAACGCCATGCTGGAAAAGGAAAAGACAAGTCGTTTGTTGAGCGCTCGCTAGGCGTTCTGGGGGGTCTCTGGGTGTTAAATACAACGGGAGCACAGAAGGACATGGAAAGAAGGAGATGATCACTTCTGCTCATGCTTGACCTTTGTGTTTTCACTACCTAAAATAACCTGTGCAGAAATTTGAACTAGGAATATTAACACATAGACACATCTATAACTTTTACCTCTCTGTTCACCGCAAGCATCATACATATGGTAGCCTACTGTGCAAATGATTTTAAAGTCTCTTTCTTTTTGTTTTTGTTTTTGAGTAACTCTTGCCTTAATCCCATTTCACCTCCAAAACACTAGTCAGTGGTGGGGTTTCTGTGAAGTGCTGTAAAGTTGAGTTGATTCAAAACACATCTAAAACACACATTAAACATGGCTTAATAGTAATTTCAAACACAAGTACACAAATCAGCTTCACTATAACTCGCAGCATTCACAGACAAACTTTCTGTCTTTATCTGGACACATTTTCCCTACAAATACAACATGCTAACGTTATTAGCACAACCCTATGGTATTTTACGTGGTATAAATTAGCTTAGTGGCTAGCGGACATTTCCTCGGCTCATATGAAGCCAGAGACAACAGCAACATTTAACAAAGGTAACGTTACAAAATTCAGCTCCATGACAACTCACAAGGTTCACCTACAAAACAAATGTCTTATACCAAACACATTTTCAAAACAAATATAACATGCTAACGTTATTAGCACAAGCCTATGGCGTTTTACGTGGCATAAATTAGCTTAGCGGCTAGCGGACATTTCCTCGGCTCATATGAAGCCAGAGACAACAGCAACATTTAACAAAGGTAACGTTAAAAAATTTGGCTCCATTACAGCTCACAAGGTTCACTGACAAAACAAGTTGATTCACAACACACATTAAACATGGCTTAATAGAGACAATTTCAAACACAAGTACACAAATCAGCTTCACTATAACTCACAACATTCACAGACAAACACTTGTCTTTATCTGGACACATTTTCCCTACAAATACAACATG